ATGTCACCTTCAGGTGGATGGGCATCGCTTGTCCTAAACCATCTCTCACGTGATGACTCCAATTTGCCATGCGCAGGTAAACGGTTTCAGCTTGCGGGCAAAACGTTAGGCGGGTGGTGTTAATACGGCACCACTGAGCGAAGGACCTCCTCGACGCCGGTCATCGACCAGAGCGGAAGGGCTTCTCAGATGAATTACAACGGCCACGTGGTCGCGACATAGGCGAGCCACTATGTTGGAGGACATCTGCTGTCGTATAATCTGAAGAGAGATCGGCTCCCCGAGGTTAAAATGTCCTCGGCACGCCACTTGATGAGCACACCAAGCAACCATTCGCAGAGACCTAGGCTCTGCCACACGACGGCAGTAAATCGAGGTGAAAGGTTGACATCTCATCACGTAGGCGGATCGACTACTTCTACCGGCGTTAAGGTCAAAAATCCCGTATGAATGTGGGATATCATAGCTCTCTATAACTCAATGAGTTTGAGGCTGTAACCTATCACCCTTTACCATGCAGTATTTACGAATCTTATTCGTTATTTCGCGCTGCTACATTTGCTTCTAGTGAATCCTGTGAGTGTTAAATTATCTAAACCGCCTTTTCTCATTACGTCTTCCAGGAATTTCGACTTTTTATTGCATATATGACTTTATTTTCCATGCTGGCATGTGTAAAAATTTCGGCTAATGTATATCTGTAAAATCACAATAAGAATTATGACCATGGGAAAACTTATCTTAGCCGACGTTTTCGTTTATTGAGAGACTTTATCAAGGGAAATATACCTGTATAAAGTCCCTCAAAGGATGAAACGCGTCAGTTAAGATAAATTTTCCTTTTGTCTTTTATTCATGCGATTCTATATAACCTCTATTTCTCTTGTTAATTACGTGATCCGTACATAGGATTCTCAGCATTCTTCGGCCGAATAAATGGTTGCTTTAAGCCTCGTTTTCGCATCTAAAATAAAAAAAAATACCGACATTCACTGTCATTTACAATATTGCAAAGCAACTTGACCAAAAAGTTTCTAACAATAGTTTCTTATTGTTCTAATATTGGACTTAGTTTCTGAATTTCGTCTTCCCCTCTTCATAATGCGCTGTCAAATTAAATCCCCCATTATTTCAATCCCACTGACCCTGTCTAGGGAAAACTTGTATAATTTTTTTTTTCATTTTAGTATTGTTCAGTTATTGTTCGCCCTGTTTGCACTATTTTTAAGTACACCCTGCGCGTTCCATAGATTGAACTCACAATTATCATATAATCAAATTAACTAAGCAACTCTTTACTCCACTAATCTATTCTTTGTTGATAAATTGGAGTCTTAAACCTAAGCTGCCTGCCTGTTGCTGCTGTTTCTCATGCTTTCAGTGCAACCACAGAAGCTTTACTCTACTGATACAGCATGCAGTCGTTTCTTTTACTTTCTACACCCGTACTAAAGGTTCAGTTCAGAATTCCCTGTAGGTTACCTGTATCTATATGCACCTGATGAACAGACGAAATGTTGTGATAAAAACCATAAGGATAAGGACAATCGTCCGAATATAAATGGTGTAAATAATAACTCCTCACCCTAGAAATTCAAACTGAAATATTGCGTCGTATTTTACTACACTTATCAAGTAAGAAACTTCTATAATTGATTGATACTGATGTTCTCTATTTATAGCAAGCATAGGGAACCTCGGCGCGGTGTAGTTGTTAGCAAGCTTGTCTCGCTAGAACAATTACAACTGGGTGCTCCATATTTCTTGCCTTGTGCCACATCTAAGCAGCGCTTAGAAAGTCACTATATATAACTAGGATATCTCTCTTACAGAGAACAGCATTGTTTATTGTATGTCCTATATTCTTGCTTTCTATTGATACCATATCCAAAATAGGCTTTCAGTTTCCAATCAGATCAGTGTTAACAACGTATCTTACGTTATTAAGATTGTGCCTGCGAATAACAAATCCTGGTAGGACTTATAATTCACTAAGGATTCATTTCAAGTTGAATATACCCGGTGAAAAAAAGCATCCTTGTTTTTTTTTTTTGTTTTTTTATAGTGTTGATAGCAGACATAGAAAAACTACAACAAAATACAGTGAAAGAATGGGAAAAGAAAAGATAGAACATCAATTGTAATATAGAATATATGGATGTCAGCAAAAGGAACAGACCAACATGCAAATTAAAAATTAGAGATACCAAAATCAACCCGGTACAAAAATTTAAATATCTGGGAAGTTTTTTAACAGAGGACGGAAAGTGCGACACTTGAAATCCGAAACCACAAATCCAAAGACAGATATGCAATATTATAAGACCTGACCTGTCATCTCGATTTCATTCACTTTCTCACAGACGTGATGTAGCTTCCCTCTGTCTTTCCTACAAATATTTTCATGGCAACTTGTCTGAGGATCTATTTTCACTGGTGTCTCAACTGCATGAATTTAAGCGTGCTACTAGGTTGGCATTTCGGTCCCACTATTTTACTGCCGAAACAATTAAATGTAACCGCATATTTTACTCCAAGAGTTTCTTGTCTCGTACTTCGCAACAATGGGCCTCCCTGTCTTCTTACTTGCATCCTTGATAATTATAATCTTCAAATAATCAAATGTAATGTCAATCGACATCTTCTGATGCCTTGATCTTGATCGCAGTCCTTGTCTTTATCCTTTCCTCAAACAGACATTTTTAATCTTATTTCCCTCTCTTGCGTGCTAGTGGCACTCCCGCCTTGCTTGAGGGAAAGGCATAAAAAATTCATTGGTATAGCCAAGGATGCATTCTAAAAGTTAAGCAAAAGTATTAAGAAACAGATAGAATCCTTACAGTACATAATCCTGAACTGCTATGCAATATCAGCCATCTCGTATGGCAATAAATACTGGACGATCTCTTCATAGATGAAGACGAGACCGGAAACAACAGAAATGTACTTATGCTTATATATACTTATATATGCTGAAAAAACCCTGAAGTGAACATGTGACGAATGACGAAGAGACAATCGAGAGAATACGAAGATTCGTATATAACATCAGAAACATAGTGTTGACATTTCTAGGACGCATAATGAGGAAAGAGGACTTGGAAAATTTGACACCATCAGGAGAGATTAATGGTGAGAAGGGCAGTGGAAAACGATGCATCACCTACCTAGAGAGCTTGAGTAAATAAATGGCAGAGCAAGGTTTAGGGGGAGATAACAAATAGACAATATTTATTAAGAACTACAAAGTAGAGGAAATTGTGGAGAGCCATGATCGACAACATCCTGAAGGGACAAGGCATATCGAACTAGAAGCTATTCACTGAGGCAGACGTTTACAGTAATAATGTTGTTGGCGCTTAAATTCAACTGTATTTACTTTCCAAACTTTTATCATAGAAAGAACAACAATTTATTGCCAAACTTGTAATCATTAGCGTAAATAAAAATACTGTCCAATAAAACATTCTTCTGATATCAGATATTCGATGAACTTCTAATTTATACACACACACACACACACACACATATATATATATAGACACATATATATATAGACATATGTATACATATAGACATATATATATATAGACATATATATATAGACATATATATATATAGACATATATATATATAGACATATATATATAGACATATATATATAGACATATATATATATATATAGATATATATATATATATATAGATATATATATATATATATATAGACATATATATAGATATATATATATATATATATATAGAGATATATATATACACATATATATATATATATATATATATATGTATATATATAGACATATATATATAGACATATATATATATATAGACATATATATATATATATAGACATATATATATATAGACATATATATAGACATATATATATATAGATATATATATAGACATATATATATATATATAGATATATATACACATATATATATACATATATATATATAGACCTATATATATATATATATAGACATATATATATAGACATATATATATATAGAGATATATATATATATATATACATATATATATATAGATATATATATATATATATGAACATATATATATATATATAGAGAGATATATATATATATATATATATATATATATATATAGAGAGAGAGACATATATATATATATATATATATATATATATATATATATATATATATATATATATATATATATATATATATACATATATATATATATATATATATATATATATATATACCATGGCGGTGTTTAATTGATTGGTTTGACGTCGATTCATCCGAATATATTCGTTGACGCTCCGAAGCAAAGATTGAGAGAAAAACAAATTAGAAATATAAACGCTTGCCCCATAAAAACAAATCAGCAAGCAGACGACATCTTGCTTTGTCTCATGCAGCTGCTTCTTAACCTTTCCTCATTCGCCATTTGCATGAGAATATTCCTTAGAAAAAATATTTTTGTAAAAATATTGCCTCTGAGAAAAATTACGGTAAAGAATAAAATTTAAAAGATTTCAATTTTTCTTTCTTTCTTTCTACGTGTATTTTTTTTTCATTTGTAGTTTTTTTTTCTTTCTTTTGTTTTTTTTTTTTGTTGCTTTTTTTTTGTCTCCAGTGTCGACTGCCAAGGAAATAATATGAGCTACAACAATGTCGGTAACCAAAAAGAATAAAAAATAATGTGCAAAGCCTTTCGGGAAATGACTCAGAAAGCCATGTCTTCCGCCCTGATTTATGGACCACCTCTATATATATATATATATATATATATATATATATATATATATATAATATTTTAGTTGTCTTTACGTTTTATTTGTTTAAATCTTCTTGTTTTTAAAGATGAAAACATTTGAAAAGTCTCAGCTTTCATATTTTTCTTGTTTTCTCTGTTCGCTGCCTGACATTTTGTCAAACTCTCTCGTTGAATTTATTAAATTGACGCAGAAGTCGACTTTCGTTTGTTTAGAATTCCTGATCTTTTTTTTTTAAATATCTTTTCTTCTTCATCCCTGCTTTTCTTTCCTCCTTTCTTTGTTCCTTTCTTTTCTTTTTTTTCTTGTAATTCTAACAACATGGCGTTTCAAATTTTACCACCATCAGCACGAACAATATTACTATTATTTATATTAATAAAACCTAGAATAAAAAGTAAAAACTCTATACCATTCGTCATTCGGACGCCATTGTTGATTTTTTTTTGTTTTTGTTTTTTTGTATATCTCTGCTTTTTTTGGTACAAGACTTTGATCAATAATCCCAATATTGATTAATTTAGCCTGAAGATATATTTAATTGATATAATTAAATCGGTTCATTTTTTCCGTCAAATTAATAATTATTTAATTTTTTCTTTTTTTGCTTACGATATCATTGATTTAATTATTATTAGTAGCAGTAGTACTAGCATTATTATTTTCTATTTTGTGGTGGATATGCTGATGTGGATGTGATAACAGATAACAACACCCAATGATGAATTGTAAAATCAAATTTGAATATTAGTCTGATTTCTTACATTCACTTTCGCTCAAATATCTTTAGGGATCTCCTAGCTCCTCCAAGCTATGTGTTAAATGGTAGGACAAGTATGGAGGAAAAATTGTAAATGTAATATTCACTCGCGAAATAAAATTCTTACGATGCAATATATGTATCGCCTTTAAATAACCCAAAATGAATAAGTCCATATCGGTTGTTTGTATCTTAGCTTATAAGAAGTTACTTGGCCCGGGGAGAGTATTATATTGGATTAGATAAGCATTTAGTTGGTCAGGTCGTTTATATTTGAGTCTCCAAGAATTTACTTGGTAAGCGGTCCCTTTTGAGCTGGGCGGGGTGATTGCTTGCAGAGAATGAGGTCGGAATATGCAAATTTATCAGATCAGATTTCATTTGCTACTTCATTTTTTTAAGTGTCATATATTCATTAATAAATTAATATTCCTAAATGAATTTTATATGTTTTACATGTAACACATTCAATATAGGCTTGCCACAATCGGTTTTTACTTATCCATCTGAAATAGAGAAAAGGAATGTAACACATACAATGATTCAAATTTCTATGTAATTTTATCAAAATCAGAAGTAGTTTTATTCAGAATGTATGGTCCATTATTGAAAACGGATACGTCTTTTTTTTTTCTTTTTTTTTTTTCAAAACGTAAAGCCGATGTAAAATATTTTATAGGAAATTTTCCATTCACCAATTGCATTTAATATTACTGTATTATGGACTTCCGTTTGGTAAAAGTATTGGTAGACTATGGCTTCTGGGTAAACCTTTGTAAATGATAACACGGCTTCATTTAAAAAAAGAGATATTTTTTTATCCATATTTGAGAAGGTGAGATGGAATTATATGTAATTAAATAGATATGTATATTAAAAGTTACAAGAACATTTATTCAGGGCAAAAGTATTATATAATGCATATTTCTAAAGATATTAAGTATTACCTGAAAAGCTTGAAAAATATATTTCATGCTAATATACGCAATATGACATCAACAACGAATGTATAAAACTAACAAAACATATATATAACAATAAAATAAACATATATGATAAAACGATATAATAGGACAAAGTAATTAATATAATAAGATATATGATAAAACATAATAAGACACTATAATAAAAAATACGAATCAACAATTTTATAAATGCTCAATGGATTCATCTAAGTGACCGAATTCAGAGTTTCGATTCCATAGAATCGTTAGAGCCACACATTCATTGAAATGATCCTAGTTTATGACTTTGACAATAAATACTAATCATAAATTTCAAATTCGTACCACGTTATAATTTCTGTTCTCGACAAAATCCAAAGACGGACATGCAATGTCATATATCCTACTCTGGGGTATCTCGACTGCAGTCACTTTCTCACATACGTGATACGGCTTCCCTCTGTCTTTTCTACAAATATTTTCATGGCAACTTCTATGGCGAGCAACCTTCACTGGTAACCCAACTACATGAATCTAAGCGTGATACTAGATTGGCGTGTCGACCCCATTCTTTCACTAACGAAACAGTTAAATATAACCGCCTCTTCTACTCGAACAGCTTCTCTCGCCCTTCCTGACAGTGGAATTCCCTTCCTAATACTTGCTTCCTTGATAGATCTTATGTTCACATATTCAATTATAATGTACATCAACACTTTTGAAGCCTTGCCCCGTCCATTATCCTTTCCTCAAACACACCTCTTTACTCTCAATCTGAATGTTTCGAACTCCTTGCGTACTCGTGGCACTCCACCTTGATTGGGGGGAAATGTGACGTTCAAAGTATATATATATATATATATATATATATATATATATATATACTAATTGTTTCATTAGAATTTACAAGTTACTTGCATGTTCTAATATAACAGTTTAAAATATTTATAGGTTTAAATTGATGTTATGAACGTTTGAATTTTTATATTTTTTCGTTTTTTTTTTGTATAT